ATTGAACTTGTTTGTAATGAGTAAAGACCTCAAATTTTCTGTTGGGCTCAGCACATTCTTCTCCACTTGCAACCAGTTTGGTTGACAAAGCTGGAGTTTGTCAATTTTTTATGTTCATTCAGGTTCGTTGTTTTTGTTGAGCACGCGTATGACGGTATGAATGCCGTCTGTTACGTTCAGATCATTATTTTTTGTTTTTACATAATGCTGGTTTAGAAGAAAACTCGACAAATATAGAAAACAAAGATTTTATGAATGATCAATGCTTGGGAGGCTCTGTATGGCTTAAATTTTCTGTTGAAATTTTTACTATTATGTCAAGATCTCAAAAAATCAAGTCATGGTTTCAAGTTGACTTGGCTATAGTTTCGAAAGTTTTGGTTCCCACTTCACTGAATGTACATTATGCCTACATTTATATTTTTTCTTAATTAACAAAAATGTTTTTAACTTGCATTATAAAACACCATATTTGCAAGTATGATATTTAATTAAAAAAAATGTACATTTATGTTTGTTTGCTAAAATATGATGATATTTGGTTATAAAAGAATGTAAATTTATTGAAAAGCTTTAGTTTTCTAATCAATAAGACCCTAGTATCAGCATTTGAAAAAAAAATCTAAATATAAACTATTTATATTGTTTGTGTTCATTATTTGCATTTTGAAATGTTTTAGAATTCAATTATTTTTTCGAGTAATGCTATAGAACTTATTTGGGATAGCAAATTGGGTTACAACTCAAGTGTAAATGCATTATTTTTTACTTTTTTGATAATGCATTTACACTTGGATTGTAACCCAAATTAGTCTTCCAAGTAGGCTAAATAACATTACTCTATTTTTTTCTCAACTTACAGCATATTCAATCAGTAAAAGCAGAATATAATATTAGCAATATGCTAAAGAATTAACTGTGGCATATTTAGTAGATAATCATATCCATAATCCAGCATTTTATGATTCGTGTTTATCCGGATATGACGAAAAAAGTGTGTAAACTCAACTTTTGGGTCCCAAAGTAACTTATTAAACTAAAAACGTTGATGAGACTTACGACTTTATTCAATCCATTCGAATATACTAGTACAGAGCCCGTGCGATGTACGGGGTGCACAATTTTAAGGCTATTTATCAAGATTATAATTATATACATGAATAAAGAAAAATGTACGGGATATATATAGTACGTGACCCGTGCGAAGCACGGGGTATATTTATTCGGAGAATATTATATTATAACATGCAATATTCAATAAGAGTTTATAATACGCAAGAAAATTGTACAATGTTCAATAAAAGTTTTACAATATTTAAGTGGAGTCTTAAAGTCTCTTGTACATTAAGACTACTGACAAAATAATATTTTAAGGCCTAATTGCCGGTAAAATCACGACCTTACAACTTTTTGCCGTTTTAACCAAACTTTTTGAATTTAGCAAATATAACACCAGTTTGACTATTTTTGGCAATTCGAATCACCGGGCCCAAATTCGGGCTTTGTCTGCTGATGTGGCTCATTACATGGTGATTTCTGCTGACATGGTATTTTTATGCTGACGTGGCTGCCGGCGTGGCTCCTGACATGGCAATTTTATGCTTAAGTGGCGGCAAAAAATTTATGCAAGGGCTGGGGTTTGAACTTGGGACCTCCAAGTTGTATGGTAGACTTATTACCACCACACCAAACCTACATATATGTTTAATTTGATAGCGTTTAATATATATGGACGATACATATGAATAAATCAAATTAAATTTAAAGGATAATGTAAATTATATTAAATTATAATAATAAGATATAAACTTATAATAACTAAATATAATAAAATAAATTATATAATATTAAATAAATAAAATAAAGTAAAATAAAATATATTATAGTAGAGTGAATTTAAATTAAATTAAATTTTAAAAAAAATTAATTTAATTTAATTTATCAATGAATTTTATTCTAAGTTTAATTATTTAAATTAATCATTTAATTTTGAAATGAATATAATGTAATTCATTATCAGTTATGTGCAACGCGCGTGCTGTGCACTAAGTGACATTTTTATGTAATTTTACATAATTTAAATTTTATATAATATTTTCAATAAATTAATATATACTTTAACTAGTTTATTTATTAATTTAATTTAATCATAATTATTTTTTATTTCCAAATTTATATAATTAGTTTTATTTTAATAAATAATAAATATAAATTTATTTAAATTTAATTTAATTTAAATGCACTCTATGACCAATTTTATCTTACTTTATTTTAGTTTATTTTTTCATTTAATATTATATATTTATTTTATAATATTTTAATTATTATAATTTTATCTTATCAATATAATTGAAAATTTATATTAACTTTAAATTTAATTTGATTTATTCATAAGTAGCGTTAATATATATTAGGCGCTATCAAATTAAACATATAACTTGGTTTGGTGTGGTGGTAATAAGTCTACCATGCAACTTGGAGGTCCCAAGTTCAAACCCCAACCCTTGCATAAATTTTTTGCCGCCACTTAAGGATAAAATTGCCATGTCAGGAGCCACGCCGGCAGCCACGTCAGCATAAAAATACCATGTCAGCAGAAATCGCCATGTCATGAGCCATGTCAGCAGACAAAGCCCGAAATTGGGCCCGGTGATTCGAATTGCCAAAAATAGTCAAAGTGGTGTTATATTTGCTAAATTTCAAAAGTTTGGTTAAAACGGAAAAAAGTTGTAAGGTCGTGATTTTACCGGCAATTAGGCCATATTTTAATCAATGAGTTTCCTTTCTTTGTAGCCAAATTGTGAATGTGATTTGATGAGTACAACAAATCATATATAGCTGACTTGCTTTTTTCATTGTAATTTTTTTTTCTTTTTTTTTATAATAATTTTAAAGATATTCTAAAATATAGCAAAAATTATTTTTTTTATTACAATTAGGAATTTTACTAAATATAGACTCTCAATCTATGGTGTCAATCAACGTTTAAGTCTAAAAAATTAGGAATTTTTACCTCTTTTAATCAACGTTTAAATCTAAAAAACAATATAGTTATTATAAGTTTTTTTCTACATCTTTTAAAACATTAAATATGACCATGTTAGGGCTAGCTTGTAAAATAATTAATATATTATCTCATTAAAACATTTATACTAATAAAAATTTAATTTTAACATATAAATTTCTCCCTTGTATAAAGTAAAGTAATAGTTTTACTTATTGTTATCAATCATATAATATTTAATTATTATTAATATAATAAAAAATGAATATTGTTAAATAGTGTAGTAGAATTGTTATAAAATTATATGATTTTTTTTTTACAATATGGATTTAATATTTTTTTATGATTTGATAATATAAACAAATCTATACTTAACTTTGACAAATAAAACAAATAAATACTTTAGTAAGTATTTAATGTATATACTAAATAGGAATATATTTGGTATAATCAAATACCAAATATAATCAAATAAGTCAAAGTGTATATTTTTATTTGGTATTTAGTTTTTTGTTATTAAAATCTTTTTATTATACTTACCTTTTTAAAATAAAACAAATAAATAAATCAATTAAATAAATAAAATATTATAATACCAAAATAGTAATGGTATTTAATGCAGTCGACTTTTCGGGATAGTAAATGTAGTAAATAGAATCTCCTTTTATATAAGTATAGATATGATATTATATTATGTTGTTCAAAATAGTAATGCATTTATTGCATTGACTTTTCAACTTACTAAATTTTGTAAATGGTACACCTTATTATATAAGTATAGATTTTAAACGACCCAGATTGCCCTTTTTTCCACTTTCTATCTCCCTTTGAACATATAGGCACAAAATCCTCTTCTCGAGTCAACGCTCAATTGAGCCACGCAATTTTTCCACAGTTCAATACTTCTTCGTCCATAGCTATCTGCCATGGCTAGCAGCAGCAGTATACGAATGATAGGCGAGTAATTTTCGGTCGACTTTTCCTTCTCTTTGTTTGTAATTTGTCCATTTGTTGTGAGTTGTGACATCAATTTTGTGTTTCTTTGCTTTTTTTTTTTTTTAGACATTGCCGTTAATTTCACAGGTTAGAGCAGTCGAAAGCTTATTTATTTTTATTGTTATTCAGTTGAAATTTTGTTTGAGAATGTGATTGGTGGGAAATTTTACAGATGATATGTTCAGAGGAATGTACCATGGAAAGCAGTATCATGTGGCTGATATTGCCGCCGTGCTTAGTAGGGCTTGGAATGCCGGCGTTGATCGGATTATTGTGAGTGTTGTAGCCTTCCTGATTAATTATATTAATTTTTATTATTTGTGGATTTTTTTTATTTTTTATTTTTTATTTTTTTTGATAGCTTCTTAATGCGTATTGATGCTGAGAAATATATACTGATTTTATTTGTCGTCAATGATCTGAATCTGAAGTCTATTATATTAATTGTTATCATACAAATAGATGGAAAGCTAACCCATCTCCAGCCATATAACTCATTGCAAAATGCATTCTTTTCCGACCATTATTATCATTCTTAAACTCAATAAAATATCTTTAAATTATTATCTTTCACCTTTGTATAATTTTTAATACTACCCATATTTTAACATTTTACAAACTACATCTTATTGCTATTTTGCATTAATTAGAGAAAAATATGTAAATAAATTAAATATAGATTGATGATTCGTACACATAAAAATACCATCATATAAAAATATCCATTAAATAAGAAAAAATTACACTAATTTTGTAGTTTATAATATATTTACAGTAATTGTGTGTTATTTTTCTTATTTTAAACATCAAAATATTCCTTGTTTGAAATTTATTTATAGTATTTTCTTTGAAATGAATATACTTCGAAGTGTTTGTATGAATACTTTGGAAATATTTTAGAAATATTTATTATCATATATGCCTCCAATTTATTTTAATAAGTTTATAGTTTTTTATTTTTATTTTTGTTTTATAATAATAGTTATGATTATTGGTATAACTTTAAGGTAAAATACATAATATAAATATTACATAAAATTATCTATAGTTTCAAATCTATAAATCTAATGGCGATGTAATTTTTTAAAAATAAGAATGGACATGACTAGACAAAACAATTTGTCTATAGATAAATATATTAAGCAACCTCCATTATTGCAGGTATGTTAATGTGTTTACATTTGAGTTTCAGTTACGGTATTTTTTGTTTTTTACAATCCTGATTTAGCAGTAAAACATATTGCGGTTCCTAAAGTGGGAATTGGATCATTTTTTCTTTCTACCATTTGCTTGACCTCTTATGAAAAATGTGTTTCTGTTGATGTTTCTGTCATGTAATAGGTGCAAGTATTTTTAGTATATATGTTAATGTTTCATAGCATCATCTTAAGTAAATTGTGATTTGTAGTTTCCAAGTGCAGAATAGTTGGAAGATTATTTTACTAAAATGCATGGTTATTTTAGGTGACTGGAGGTTCTCTAGAGGAATCAAAGGAAGCTTTGGCAATTGCTGAAACCGATGGTGGTTTTCATACATTTGACTTTTCCGTGTTAGTTTTTTAGTTGTAGATTGCTTATACATTCGACTTTATACTGTTGTTGTTTCCAATTTTTGCAGCAAGACTCTTCTGCACAGTTGGTGTGCACCCAACAAGATGTAAAGTGAGTTCATACCTAACTTCATCTGTTCTGCACGAAGCTAGTTAAGGTTTATGCATAATGATGAAGTATATCTATGGAGACATTTTCACTAATTTTCCTTTTGTTGTTGATTAGGAATTTGATGACAGTGGTGATCCGGAGGGGCATTTTAAGGCTCTTTTGTCATTGGCTAGAGAGGGAATTGAAAAAGGAAAAGTAAGCATTGTTTACTTAGCTGAAAAATATGTCGACTTTCTGACTGTCATCCAAGTATCACCAAATGCTTGCATGTTGAAGCGGCTTTAATTTTTTTGGTAACCAGAATAATAAGTAAATAACAATTGCAAATTTCTTCTCTTTTTTCTTTATTGGTTTTATGAAGTTTCATTTGTGAGAGGTTGAGTGTATTCCCGAAATTGCAGTGGTGACTTATTGGTAATATAGATTTTGATTTCAACATTCATTTTTCAAGCAAGGTAGTGGCGGTCGGAGAATGTGGATTGGACTATGATAGGCTTCATTTCTGCCCAGCTGAAATTCAAAAGAAGTATGTCCGTGCACGATAAAGTTCCTTGACCTTTATCAAAAGGAGGCAGACCTCCTCAATATTGTCACCTAATTTATTAATATATTTTTTTCTGAATCACAAATTAATAAAGTTTGATTGTTTTGCTGTACTGATCTAACATATAGGTACTTCGAAAGGCAATTTGAATTAGCATATGTGATGAAGTTGCCAATGTTTCTTCACATGCGAGCGGCTGCTGAGGATTTCTGCAATATTCTTGACCAAAATAAACATAGGTAAGATTTCGTTGCCCTCAGCGTTTTTAGATGATGAGTCATACATAAAGTCCACTATCAAATAATGATTGCTCGGAGTTGGTATTAATCTCATGACACCACCAGGATTTCATCTGCTTCTTTTGTTCACACTTAAGTGCACGGTTCTTTTATTTTATTTTATTTTTCTTTTTCCGGTTTTATAGTATTTGTGCTGTAACTTCTTTTCTTACCTTATATCTGGTAGGTTTTGCTCTGGGGTTGCTCACTCTTTTACTGGTAGTGCCCAAGATCGTGATCGTCTTCTCTCATTCAATAATCTGTTCATAGGTGAATATGTTATTATTGTTTATATCCCTTGAATTTTTACTCCTCACTAACTTTTCGATAATTTAAAGAAAACATTATTTATATTTGTTATTCCCATTTTCTTTTAGGCATAAATGGATGCTCTCTAAAGACTGCTGAGAACCTTGATGTTGTGAGGGGAATTCCCGTCGAGCGGCTGATGATTGAAACAGATTCTCCATACTGTGAAATCAAGAACACACATGCAGGAATTAAGTTTGTGAAAACCTTATGGCCTTCAAAGAAGAAGGAGAAACATGATTTGGATTGCATTGTCAAAGGCCGGAATGAACCCTGTTTAGTACGGTAAGAAAGGAAATTAATGTCATGAAATATAGTGAAAATCGTGTGTTATTCTTCTCATTTTGCCTCCTTAAATTGTATGTGAACGGCTTTCTGTATAATCTTGCATGTTAGGCAAGTGCTTGAGGTGGTGGCTGGCTGTAAAGGAATTGCTGATATTTATCAGCTCAGTGAAACTGTGTACCACAACACTTGCAGGTATTTTTCTCAAAAGTCATGCTATAATAACATGAATGATGACACATACTTTTGACATAATATATATGTTATTTGATAGCACCTCATTTTTTTAAGATCAACAATCATTAAACATCCACATCAAATTTTGTCAAACTTAAGTAGCCTCATTCATTGTTTTAGCNTTTTTATCTTTTAGGATTGTTCAAGACTGCACCCCACCCCCTTTTTTTCTTTTCTCATTTTCATTTTCCTTTTATCTTCATTTTTTAAGGAAGCAACCATTTGTCCACTTAACAGATTTTTAACTCTCCTTTTCTGTATCATTTTCCTTTTCTGTTAATTTTTTGAAGTACTGAACAGAGTTTATAGCACTCGGAAATAACTGATCTACAACATAAAGGATGAACAAAAACCTGACCCACAAAATACCTCCATATAAAGTATAAAATTAATATTTGCTCGTTGAGTTGAACTTGAATTGTATTTTGCATAAGAAATATATTCTACTTATTGCCTGATTTCAATTAGTCGCTTGTGAAGTTGTTATACATGGTTATGCACAAACAAATATGCCAAGAAGTTGTACAATGGTGCAAAGTACATCAATGTCTCATCCATTTATATCCAATCATACATCTAAAGGTCCATTATTCTCTCTCAACTCGGAAAAAATTAAAAATGTCACAAATACATAAATGCCTCTTCTAATTATATCTGAATTTGCAACCGCAAGTTCCGATTTTTTCTCAAACACACCTCAGCTAAAAGATTCGATATAAGCTACGGCCAAAAGATGCAAAGCTAGATTCAATATAAAACATGCTTCCTAATTTTCACCCTGAGTTTCACCTTCATTTTGATCTATAAGCGCCAAATGCGCTCTGAATTTCCACTTACATAGTAGCACCGGAAAACACCTCACTACTTTCCAGATTATTTTCGGACATCTTTTCTACTGATGGCAGCGTAGAAAGAGCAGCTTTCGGTTCCGCCACTTTCAACCTTAATGGTCGACCTTCAACAACCTACTCATGTTGTGCAAAGAAATAACAAGTTAACAATTTAATGAGATAGCTAGTGTAAAAATTTACCTAGATATGCAAAAAACCACCATACATGTGTGATGTGTCCAAAATAACCAAAAAAGAAAAATGCTTGAGTCGAATCGTGAGTCAAATTTAAGGGGACAATCGTAATATATTCACAATACAGTGCATTTTTNNNNGTACAAAATCAAGGGTTTTCTATTGTAATTTTCACAAGCTCACAGCTTTTGTATCTTTATTTTTTATTTTTTTAAACCTAATGTGACACAGAAAATGTTCATAACCTGAAGAGTTGTCAAAATGTTGTCCACCAATGTCCATTTAAGAGGGAAAAAACAGCTTTAGTTATACTGATAACTCTTTCCGAAGGATAGCTATATGAAATGATGAAAGAAACTAAAGTTTATTATATAACCATCTAAAATTTCGGTGTTAGTTTCATAATTAGCCTCAAAATCTTACCACATCATTCATGACATTGAGTGCGGATTCTAATTCTTCAGCACTAGAGAATGTAACAAACCCAAAGCCTCGAGACCTTCCCGATTCCCTATCGAAGATGATCTTTGCACTTAAAAATCCTGGTTGTTCGGCAAAGGCTTCTCTTAAGCCTTGAGAAGTGAGATTCCAGCTAAGATTCCCAGCATATATCTTATGAGGGCTATCAACAAAACCCTGATAGCCGCTCCCTTTCTTTGGGCTCATCACTTCCCTTTCTCCACCTCTTGGCACCTCAGGGAAGTTGACCTTTGCAACGCGGCCTCCAATTTGCTGAAAAATGCACATGACAGAAACTAAGTAACCAACATAAACTCATGCATAAAAGCAAGAAAGCTTGGCATTTCTTTTGGGGGGCTAAATTAATACTTTATAGAGTGCCCTAGTTCCAGTTTCCGCTATAACAGTCATGTCTTGAGTTTTTCAAATGTCTGTATAATGTAATAATTGCATCCCATGTGTCAAAATAAATGAAAATCTGCTTTAGTGTGATTTATAGGTGGTTATCTTTTTGTAACATGTAACTTTAACAAGCAAAGTGATCTTCAACAAATAACAAGTCCTGAATTCACTATTCAAAGGACTACAACTCAAATTGATTGACAATTAACAGTCATCCTGTTCTACTAGAATGAAAATGCTGCAGAAATATTCAACCAGCGTTAAGACATTCGTATCCCTAGCCACAAATCACATACAGGAATACAAAACCAGCTCTGAAATCACAATGGAGCATCATCTATAACACTAAGAACAGCCACTTACAGCTCCATCAAACAGCCGGATTGCCTCTTTGGCTTCATCAACAGTTCCCATCGTAATAAATGCAAAGCCTCGACTCCTATCCGTAACTCTGTCATAAACAATCTTCAAGACAAACATGAAGGAGCATTATTGTACACTGACAACAATTATAATTTACCAAAATCAACATTGCAAACATTTAGCTGTCCATTATTGAAAAAAAAAAAAAACAATAGTTACAGAAAATACACAAGTCGAACTCCAATATTACTGATTCTTAATCAGCAACCACAAGCGAAGCTGAATTTGACATCATTTCCTCAGGAATAAACGTAAATTCACATTAATGTCAATTTTTTTTAATATTGAACTTCATTCACAGACACATACTCCAGTTTTCCCATTCCCCTGATTTTCTTTTATGTTATCAGTTCATGTAAACCATTCAGGCTTCGAAACATAGCAATGTAAGTTCATACCAACCTTCAAGAAAATTTGGTTCTTCGGTAAAAGGTTTGCCAAATTTTAATTCTAATACCACAACACGATAAACAAAAAGAAAGGCCCAAATCAAAAGCAACAGTTATAACACCGTCCCCCATGAGCCAGATGGGACATTAAACCGTTTTCGTTTCAACAGACAAAATAAGCTCAATGATTTTCCGGTGAGATATTCTCACCTCCACAGAGATAACTTTGCCGGCTTCGGAAAAAATCTCCTCCAACTGCGCTGCTGTCATAGTGAACAGCAAGTTGCCGACATACAATCTCCCTCCATCCGCGGACTCCGACAAGTTGAATTCTTCCTCCGACGCTGATTCCCCAACTTCGCTTTCTGTTTCTTCGTCTTCGTCTACATCCAATCCGACGCCATCAAATGCACTCGAGGCGCGTGAAATCGACAAACGAGAAATCGGAAAAAATGGGGAGTGGCTGAGAAGAATCTTCAGCTTCGGCAAGCCTTTTTTGGGGTTCGCGCTGTAGTAGGGGGAGAGGTGCAGAGAGAGAGGACGGTCGATCGAAGTCGAGACGGAAAAGGATTGCGAACAAGTGCCAATCGCCACGGAAAGTGAAGACGCCGCCATTTTTGCTACTGTTGAGAGCTCACTGGTGTTGAGAAGTTCTATGCTTTGGGGGTTTTTGAATTGGGAGAAGGACGAGGAATGATAAAGTTCGGGATAAGGTTCTTTGAGAGTTAAGAATGGGTTTATGCCTTTTGTTGAGAATGAAAATTTTCTAGCCAAAATTTAAGGATCAGTTAAAAAATAGGGTAAGACCACAATCCGGAACTATTCCATTGAAATTTGTAACCGTTATATCAACTATCATTGACGGTTACTTGATGATCTAACGGTTACAAATCTCAACGAAATGGTTCCGTAACGGGATTGTAGCATTTTCCTAAAAAATAATTGGTGACTATATTAAGGATCTATCATCTATTATTAGTATAGTAATATACAAAATGTGTTGTGCAATATAGAGATGAAAACTAAAATGAAATGGACATGTTGTAAGAACCGTAAGAATCATATTTGATGTTATTTTTAATTGTGTATGATGTTATTTTTACTATCACATGGTGCTATCATTTTCACAAATGCTAATATAAATTGTGTTGCTATTTTTTATAAAATACATTCATATTAAAAATAGCACTAGAACACAATCAATTATAACACCACATACAATTAAAAATAGCGGTTCTCACGCCTAGACATGGTTCTCATTTGAACCACATCATATATATATAGAGAACTGTGAAAACCGCTATTTTTAATTGTACGTATTGCTATGATTGATTGTGTTTTAGTGCTATTTTTAAACATGGATATATTTTATTAAAAATAGCAACACAGTTTATATTAGTATTTTTGAAAATGATAGCACCATGTGATGTTAAAAATAACATCATACACAATTAAAAATAACATCAAATATGGTTCTCACGGTTCTCACACCAGCACTAATTTTTATTTGAACCATCCCCTATATATATATTGTTTGAATAATAGTTATCTTGACTGTATATGAAAGTATTTAGATCACCTTCAGTGCAGCGTCACAGAGTGGAGTAAAATACTCCTCTAACGTAGCGCTAAAATTTTGCGTTGTTTCGGAGAAATGAATAGTGTCGCACCACATCTGTGATGAGGATCGTGTATCGAGATTCGATTTTGTGTAAGAATCCACGCATATAGCCTTGGTTCGAACACAGTAATAAGTGAAAAACCGAGGCTATCAGTCTCGGTTTATCACGAAGAAAGAACTCGAAAACGAGCCTTTTTCTTAAACTTCATTTCATAAAACTTCTTTTTTTTAAAGGCCATTTCCTAGCCTTTAAATACCAAAAGAAACAACATCGAATATTCAAATTATCCTAACTAATCATTCAAACATTTAAATTATAACTAACGTAATAATCCTATCCAAATATAAGACTAACCCAACTAATATTAACTACTCCCACCATGCACTTTCATGTCACACGTGAAACTGCTGGCTAGGCCCAGCCTGTCGCGACGCGACGGCTATCGCGGGCCGCGGTGGCACTTTTAGTCGCGTTGCAAGTGGCACCGCGCTGTGAAGCTCCAGCTCATTTTCTACCTCTGTCCTCGTGAAAGCTTTCGCCATGCAAGACGGTGCACGATAGTCTGCTTATGTTGATACCCGGTTCGCCCATTTGCTTAATGCGCATCATTTCTGACCCTTTCTCGAAAGTCCTTGTCCTCAAGGATAAAAATTGGAAATTGTCCGCGTATCAACAGGACCACGCAATTCTCCTTCCGATTCGTCGTGACCATGCATTCTTGCGGCCCTCGCCGCCAGAAACTTCAAACTGACCGAACCACGCCTTGTCTACATGGCGATGCAAAACCATCACAGCCTCCCCTAACTGGTGAGACGAAGCCGCCTCTCACTTGTTGCATATGTTCCATCGATGAAAATGCTGAGTTATGTCCCCATTTCTCGCAATGCTTTCATTCAGAATTTTATTGACCCCAAATGAGAAAACATCTAGTTTTTCTATTAATTTGCCACTTAATGCGTACTCAAGAGCCAAGTACCCAAACGTTCCCCTCACACGTGTGGGGACATGAGCATAATTATCAGAAGTGAGTTTAGCCAAACTGAAATCAGCAACCATGGTTTCAAAGTTGTAGTCAAGAAGAATGTTTGCAGATTTGATATCCCGATGGATAATTCGCGGATGGTAATCTTCATGTTGTAGTCAACAAGAATGTTTGCAGATTTGATATCCCGATGGATAGTCCGCGGATGGCAATCTTCATGTAGGTACGCAAACCTTTTGGTTGATCCCACTGTCTGAAGCCTAATTGTCCAACCTATCACCGACTGCCCCTTCCCGTGAAGATGAAAGTCCAAGGTCTTTGATGAAGACATAGTCTTCACAACAGGAGAGATTTTTTCGGCGACGGTGGCGGTCCATTGGGGCATCATCCTTCTGATGGGTTGCTTTGTCGATTGTATGTTCTTTTTCATAAAATGTACGCTCTTCTCCCACCAGCCGATCCATTCTTGACCAAACATGGCGATACACGATCAACACTCTCAATGAAAGCACCAATGATTAAGATCATGTATCGGGACTCGATTTGGTGTAAGAACCCGTGCTAACGGTCTTGGTTCGAACACGATAATAAGTGTAAAACTGGCGCTATCGGCCTTGGTTTATCACGTAGAGTACTAAAAACGAGCCTTTTTCTTAAAATTTATCCATAAAATATTTTTTCTACAAGTTCATTTCCTAGTCTTTAAATACTAAAGGAAACAACTTTCAAATATTCAAATTATCCTAACTAATCATTCAAACATTTAAATTATAACTAACATAATAATTCTACCCAAATACTTAACTAACACAATTAATATTAACTACTCCTGCCATGCACTTCCATGTCACACGTGAAACTGTTGTCTAGGCTCAGCTTGTCCCAGGCCGCGATGGCCCCTTCAGTCGCGGCGTGAGTGGCATCGCGCTGCGAAGCTCCTGCTCGTTTTCTGCCTCTGTCTTCGTGAAGGCCTTTGCCGAGCGAGACGTCGCGCGACGGCATGCTACTGTTAGTGTCTGGTTAGCCCGTTTGCTCGATGCGCATCATTGTAGCTTACTCTACATTTTTTTTTTTTCGTAAAATGTATTTGAATATAATATTTTTTTAATATTTTGTATACTATGTATTAGTAACTGTATTTTTTTATGTTGAATAACTTTCTGCTTTATATTTATTCATGTATTAAAATTTTATATTGCAATTTTTTAATATTAAAGTTTTACCATATGAATAAAAATTTAACACAATAAAACAAGTAGTCATTAAAATAAAAGTTTACAACACACATAGATCACAAAATACACATAGAAACTACATAATTGTCATGTAATTTGTATTTCTATAGTTTGAATTTATGAAGCAGTCTCATGTTGTTATACATAAACATATTTTTATTATTGGGTAACAAAAATTTATATAAGATTAAATATAGATAGATATTACAATTTATTGAAATAAATATGAATAAAAAAGTTATATATTTAATGTAGAATAAAATATAACGCAAATGACTAAAGATGAACTTGAATTTTGGATTAGTTCTAGATTAGTGCAAAGGGCTGTAAATGCTCTTATATATATAACCACACGACCTCAACCATCTCAATCATTTCATAATTTATATTTTAATTTTAGTTTTTTATAACAAACTTTTGCTCTCATTCGTTTAGAATTGGAATGAAAGGCAAAGCCTATGGTTCTCACTTTTATTGAAACCTTTTCGTGGAGCTATTGTGCACTCCCTGCACCTTTTCATTTTTTTACCCTCACAGATGAAACCCAACACTTAAATCAATGTAGTTTTAGCATTAACAATTAATGAACTTCACATTATGAAAATGTTTTTTGTTTCATTCTAATTTTAACATGAATCAAGGAGAAGATGACCAAGCGATCGATTATATTACTACCAACACAGTAACACGTGCAAAAACCAGAACTCATAATTGGTAAGAGAAAGACCATAGTGAAGTTATTTAAAATACGAGAAATCAAACACTTGTCAATTCAAACACAAACTTGACACCATCACCACTCAACAATGTAGACCACCAAAAGGCTACAAGTAATGAAGATTTATCTCTTTCTTGCTGAGGAATTTTACTGGTTATCTCAGTTTTCAGACATTGACAGTGCTTTTAAAGTGGTTGTCATCAATTGATGAATAAACCAGACCTTCTGATTCCAACGACTCAATAGCTTCTCTGCCAAAAGAACCAGACGAAACAAATAATGAATAAATGAGAGAGAGAGAGAGAGAGAGAGAGAGAGAGAGAGAGGAAGGGAGAGAGAGTTACGAGATTTTAGCCTCGGGAACTTTCAGTTGTTGAGCAAGTTCACTCCGATGGATTCCCTTTTCTTTTGCACTGAAACATTCGGAGAATTTGACCAATGTTTTAAGAATCAATATTTCTTATAAGCAGCAAGATAATCATCCAGAAAACTTGTTATGATATGGGTCACTAGTTTGAAAACATGCAAAAATTTAACACAAAAAAATATTTTTCGCTTACTGAAAAAAAGTTCACAAAGACATAAAAGTACTGAATGCTTTGTCTCCCTAGTGATAACGAAAACCTTTGTAAGTATCCAAAGGCATATGCAGATGGGTCAGTGCTTGGCTTTGTTTAACTTACAGGGATGACGGCATCTGCAAATAGTCCAAGATTGCTTTATCGAGGCCCTTCACTCCATCCAAATTATATTGCACAGGAAACTAAAAATTAAGAATATTAGATCAGTTTTGATTTGATTCGTAAACATTGAGTTTCATTCAAAAATATCAGTCTAGATAGACTTACATGATTAGACGGGGTAGGTTGGTAACCTCTGGAAGAAGTGCCAACTGCTGAATTTGGCATATGACCTGGGACTTGGGAAGCATCCGGCTGCAGCTTCTACAAAGCAGACAAAATGGATAAAAGACAAAAGGCTTAATTTTTAATGAACCAAAACTTTAATGTCAACACTTGGCAGGCCATATTCCAATCAGGCTGATTTGATCATACCCGTATTTTGGTATTGTAGCAGTGGACGTAAATACAGTCAGCAAAGTGGTTTGCAATCTCATTGTAGTCTTCGAGAGGCCTGACAGTAAAGGGGTATTTAATAAATCTATACTTATATAATAAGAATTAACCTTTTTCAAAATTAGTAGGTCAATTCTTAGTCAACATCCTGTCTGCATTAAATGTTTACTAAAATTAGTAACTTTTATGTTCTTTTCACACTTTTTTTTATGTCCTTTTCACACTAGATTACAAATGCACGGATATTATCTCACCTTTCATTAATCTCACCTATAATTCATGTGAATTGATTGATTGCCTTTAACTTTTCAAAACGTGTGCTATCCATTGTTTATTACTATTATTATTATAGTATGCACGTAATCAGTTGATTAAATAAATTATATATTATTATTATTATACTCACCACGTGACAGTTAATTAAAATATATCTATATTTATATTAAAAGGTATACCATTTACCAGATTTAATATAAAGAAAAGTCAACAACATTTATTGCATTACTATTTCCGTATTATACAATCTATATTTATATAAAAAGAGATTCTATTTACTATATTTACTATCCAGAAAAGTCAACTGCATTAAATGTCATTACTATTTTGGTATTATAATATTTTATTTATTTAATGGTTTTATTTATTTGTTTTATTTTAAAAAGGTAAGTATAATAAAAAGATTTTAATAATACAAAAATCAAATACCAAATAAAAATGTACACTTTGACTTATTTGATTATATTTGGTATTTGATTATACCAAATATATTCTTATTTAGTATATACATTAAATACTTACTAAAGTATTTGTTTGTTTTATTTGTCAAAGTTAAGTATAGATTTGTTTATATTATCAAATCATAAAAAAATATTAAATCCATATTGTAAAAAAAAAAAAAATATAATTTTATAACAATTCTACTAAACTATTTAACAATATTTTTTTATTATATAATAAAATAATAATTAAATATTATATGGTGAACAACAATAAGTAAAACTGTTACTTTCTCTTATATCAAGGGATAAATTTATATGCTAAAATTAAATTTTTATTAGTATAAATGTTTTAGTGAGATAATATATTAATTATTTTACAAGCTAGCCCTAACATGCTCATATTTAATGTTTTAAAAGATGTAGAAAAAAAAATTATAATAACTCTATTGTTTTTTAGACTTAAACGTTGATTAAAAGAGGTAAAAATTCCTAATTTTTTAGACTTAAACGTTGATTAACACCATAGATTGAGAGTTTATATTTAGTAAAATTCCTAATTGTAATAAAAAAATTAATTTTTGCTATATTTTAGAATATCTTTAAATTCATTATAAAAAAAAAAAAAAAAAAAACCACAATGAAAAAAGCAAGTCAGCTATATATCGATTTGTTGTACTCCTCAAATCACATTCACAATTTGGCTACAAGGAAAGGAAACTCATTGATTAAAATATTATTTTGTCAGTAGTCTTAATGTACAAGAGACTTTAAGACTCCACTTGAATATTATACAACTTTTATTGAACATTGTATAATTTTCTTGCGTATTATAAACTTTTATTGAATATTGCATCTTATAATATAATATTCTCTAATAAATATATCTCGTGCTTTGCATGGGTCACGTACTATATATATTCCGTACATCTTTCTTTATTCATGTATATAATTATAAACCTGGATAAATAACCTTAAAAATGTACATCCCGTGCATCGCACGGGCTCTGTACTAGTGTATGGATAATATAACGAAAGAGAATCACACAGAGAAAGGCTATACTGAACAATCTTGAAATAGGTGATATATCTAGTTATGAACAAGGATAGTTATACTGCCCCAATGTCACCTCAAAGCAGCGAGTAATATATGTGAAATCAGTATTAAACATCTCCAGTTAAGTGAACGTTCTAGGTTCCAACAGAGAGAAAAACCATGGGACGAGTCAGTGACACTGGCTTCCTAATAAGGAGGAACATGTACTGAATATCATGAATGGTTAATCTAACTACAAATGGTCATCAAAGCATGCTAAAGTCGTCTTTTTAAATCTAAAGCATGGAAGTTTGTCTAGATATATCAATGCAATTCGATGAAGGAACTGAATCCAATAAAAACTCAGTTCAACTAATTCTAAATCCGCTAAACAAAAATTCAGGAAAGGAATATGTTATCTGTTTTTGGTACTCCATTGGACTTTAAAATCAGTTACAAATTCATGAAATTGGGATAAAAAAGGATTGCGGAACAAAATCATACTCTGATGGCAAACAAAAGAAGGGATTGGGCATGGTAAGGATTGAAGCAATGGGCAAAAGGTACTGAATCTTGGACAGATGACAGGGATTTGAAGGGCTGACGTACATGATTTAAGGTGTAGGAGACATTACAACAGGTAAGATGACATGTAGCAATCGCATACCTTAACAAGAATATTCAGGTAATATAATGATTGGAAAATAATGGCACAAATGTTTTAGCTTCAGAACTAAAATGTTGTGAAGATCCTTCTGCCAAATCTAAGTTATCTACATAACTCTTGCAGATACAGTTCTTATAATTCAAAATGGCCTTGCTGAAGAAGTTACAACAACGATTAAGAACTCAAGATACGGAACGGTATAAGAACAAATCAACTGTGTATAAATATAGACGAGGACTCTGATTTTGTTGTAAAAAGGGATCCCACGTTACTTTCCCAATTGGTGCTTGACATGAACACAAGCATGATAAAAGGAAAACAAAAGGAAAAAAAAAAAAAACTACAAACAACTAGAACAAACCCATACCTGACAGAGTACACCATCAATTGCTTTTTACCCTGAAATCCCTTCAGGTGCCCATGAACCTTCACGTACATGCCATTTCTAAGTAAATGGAACATGAAAAACAAAGTTAGAAAAAATCGGATACAATGCAATCCATAGCACAGGGTCAAGTCTATCTGGAAGAATCATTACAAGAGAATCTCCATTTCCTTCGTGTCAATTGCTTCATTTACCCTACAATAAGCACAGAAGAACAAGCAATAAGAAGAAAACCCCAAAATTCAAATAAACTGTCAGACTTCTATCGATCACAACAATCACAACCATTATATTCACATACAAATTCGAAGAAATAAACATACCATCTGTGGCAATCAATGCGACCAGTTCCATCATCAAGCACGAATGAAACTTCAGTCACTTTTTCAGTTTTTTCATCCAAAATCCCGACTAATTTCACCTAGATACAACACAATTTCAAAGCCACAATGATTAACTATATAATTAAGCTAACATAAATATCAACCATGATTGCCTTTCCCAAATAGATACATACATTGTTCACATCAACTCCATCGATTAGAAAATTTGCCTTGTCGTCACTTGACTGGAAGGCCTCACTTATTTGCTTCACGGTTAATGGTAGTAAAGGCTGTGCGTCACGATTCTGCAAAATAACACAGAACAAAAGGCGCACACAAACAATCCCTACCTCAATCTTCATGCTCATGTGATAAATTATTGGTAAATTGCAGAAGTAAAAACGCTAAATGGAAAGTACACATCTTCTTTCAAAACATGTACTCATCCTAAATCTCAAATTAGGGTTTTGGAGAAACTTCTTCAGAAAACGATAAAATATGCTTTAGTAAAGATACGGATAGTCGATAGAAGAAGAAGAAGCTTATGACGCTGCATAGAGTTACCTTGGCCGGAGAGAAGCCAGGGTCGGCGGTTTGGGTCGCCTGAGAAGGCATGAACCCGCCGCCGGAGAAGGCGGCATTACCGTCGAATTGGTTGTTCCCGTACATTTTCTCTATACAGAGTGCTTCCGCCGGAACACAGATGTAGATTAAGGGAACGATGTTTCGAGTTGAGAGCAGAAAATGATTAAAGGGCGATAGGTTATCGAGTTCCCGCCATTTTGGTTCCTTGTTCTGGAATCCTGCCCTTTCCTATTATATATGCGAACAATTGTAGAGCCCGTTCATAAAATTAATTAATACTCCCTCCTATTCATAATAAGTGTCGTTTTGGAAAGTTACACACTAATTAAAAATAATTTTTTTGCCAATAATAACCCTCATTAATGAAGATAGTGATAAATGGTTTTAAAAAAAAAATGAAGAGAATATGAAAAGACGTAATGTATTTATTAACTAAATAAGGGTAATAATGGAAAAATACATATACAAAAGATCCAAAACGACATTTATTTTAGTTAATAGTTGATAAAGCCAAAATGACATTTAAAAAGAATAAGAGGTAGTATAACATATCTATATCTATATCTATATATATATTGAAAAAGGTTGATGGAAAAATCATTTGTGGAAAGTTTGATAAAAAAAAATATAATGTTTGACTTACTATTAGTAGAAATTTTTAGTAACAATTAACAAAATCTGAATCTTATTCATTTGGTAACAAATTTGGAGATTCTTATGACAAAATTTTGAATCCCACTTTTTTCCTATTATTTTTTTTACCACAATCTAAATCCCATTTTTTTAGGTAACAAATTTGGAAATTCTTATGCAAAGAGTGTGTCAATTATTTATGAAAATAATTCCAAATACAAATTAATTTAAAAATCTTAAAAATTGGATACAAATTTGGGAAACAAATAATTGTATAATTCTTAACATTCGTCCAATATTTTTGAATAATTTTATCTTTCAACAAATGTGTGCAAATTGGAAAATACCACGTGTAATTTTAAATTTAAAACAAAGTTGAGATTTGGACGTGATTTACATTCAAAATCGTATCTACGTTTGTTTATAACAAAATCGGTTCATCTTTGATTTTAAAATAAAACTTTATCCAGTTATTTAGAAAAAAATTCAATAATATCAAAATCATGTGCAACTTTTACAAGACCGTGAGCAACTTTTCAAAAATGCACCAATATTTTTTTATTCTTATGTTTTTTTTCTTAACTATGTTTATCGAGATTTTGGTAAGTTCATATCATTTTTTTTCGTTAAGTTTGTATCAATTTTTTTTAAGAAAGAAACAATTTCATATATTTTAAGTTTTTAACAAATTATTTCTATTTTGTATTAGAATTAATTTCATTTTAATTTGTTTGGTAAAAAAAATTGGTGCAATGTTAGGACAATTTGGTTGCATTTTTAGGAAAAAATGATGATTCTTTTCACTTTGTTTCAACCAAATATCCGGATCAATTTGTTTGGTAAAAACAATCGGTGCATTGGTTAGAAAGTCGGTTTCATTTTTAGAAAAAATTAATTATTCTTTTCAATTTTTCATAATCACAACATTGAATTAGATTTTTTATTTTTTTTTAAAGAAAAGCGTGAAAATCTTAAAAGTTTCTACTTTTGGTCTACTAGAATTTTGTATAATAAATAAGATCCCTTAATTATTTTAAAAAATATAATTTGTTAACTAATAACTCATAATATGCAATTTTACATAATTTTGAACATACATAAAGTACTTTACGAGCCAAAGAATCAAACCAAGAATGTTATAAGGAAATGTTCAATAACATATAATTTTCATTTTCATGATATTTTTATTGTCATTAGACAAATTAAATATAAAAATAAATTTTAAAAGGCAAGTAAGTAATAAATGCTCCCGTGCATCGCACGGGCACTGTACTAGTTTATCTTCAATATACCTTTCCCACGCATGGAAAATTTTGATTTGACTAATAAATTCTCTATCGTATTTTTTTATTTATTTGTTGGCTTATTTTCATTAGTATTAGTGCTTGTCATTATTCGTTGTAGGGATATTTTTGTCCGTTGCACTTATCGTTATACCCCAACAAAGGTATCAGAGCCGAAGATTCGTCATAGGCTCATTCGGTGAGGCGAGCATTGCATTCGACTTCGAGATGTCCAAGGAGATCACAAGGGTGCATCATCCTCTGCATTCATTACGGCAAAGACGGTGATGCCGAACGTCAGACTCTTGGTGGAGATCTTCGATGAGAGCAGTCATTTCGACATGTGGCAAGGCAAGATGTTGGATCGTCAACTTCAGCAAGGCGTCGACATTGCCATTGAAGAAGAGAAGCCAGACGACATTGATGAGAAGGACTGAAAGAATATCAACCACTTAGTATGTGGAACAATCCGTTCGTATTTGTCCAGGGAGTAGAAGTACGCGTTGAATAATGATAACTCTGCTCACACTGTTAGTGTATATACTTAAAGCTTGGCTTTTTGCGTAATATACAATATCTTTCTTTTAATGAGAATCATGATTAATTAAATTGTCTTATGTTATGATGTTTTACATTTGGATATTGAGGTCCATCGCACATGAGATAGAAGATCACATATTGGTTACTTGTAAAACATAAATAAATTAGTTCACGACCTAGATGAAAATGAACAACTGATTGTGAACAGTTGTAGTGTTAACTGTACAGTCCGTCTTGACTTACTGGTTATACTAGTGCACTGTGTGCATTAAATGGATCCCAGAGAGGATAAGTTTGTTTTGAACTAATTGGTAAACAAACTAAACCTCGGTATATACTGCGTACTCTTAACCCGTAAAATATAAACTTGCACTTGCATACAGTAGTTGCTACTTTGATTCGCTAAAAAGTGAGATACATTATGCTTAATCAATAGTCTGGCGTGTTTTGGGTAGTGATGTTGTGTGTGTGGTGTGTTGTTCGAATATTTAAGGTCACCATGTGCGATAGTCTGATGATTTTCTCGTAATGAGCTCAATAAGGATTATTATGTTAAACTTAGCAGGTGGATTAAGTTCCGACATAGTAATAAAACATTAAGTGGTATTAGTCTCGACTTAACAAGTCAATTAATATTATTATTCGTAATTAATTAATTTACGGACATTATATCTTAAACACGGGGAGATAAAGCAAACAATTATTATTGGAGCCTCAAGTTGTAATTTGGGAGCCAAATGGGGAGATCAACGGTTTTTCTTTGGTGTACTGAAGAATCGTTCAAATATGAGTATAGTGGGTTTGGCCTACAGTTAGACCTATACTTGGTAACCTCATATTGGGCACCACCTTAGGGTCCCTATTGTAGCCTATAAATACACACTCTCCTAATTATGAAAATCATAGTTATTAGATCTTTTTGAGTTAGCCACTAAGACAAACAAAGAGAGTAAGGTCATACAATAGAAGTCCTGAGGTAAACCCGAGACTCCCAAGCACCCGACGTCTGCCAACCGTCGTCGTGCACCAGCGTTCACAACCACCACCTTAAGACCCATAGTGACTTTGAGTTGTACTTTTCTTTTCCCTTCTCTTAATGTAGCATGATTTTAATTGTGATCATGGTAGCATTAGTGATATTACAGGCTCAAGTACGATAATTCTAGTTGTCTGGGGAGATTGTATAAGGAATAGCTGTTTAATTGTCATCATTGTCGTCAAGCATATTTCATATTTGAGCTTGACTTATTGAAGTAAAGCATAATATCAGTATGTAAATAGTTGAAGAATAATAGTTATACCTAGAGGGCACAATTGAAAGGATGTCATGGGACAACCAGAGAAACAAATCCAAGACCGATTACGTGATGCATCATTACAATTAGAACCTTAGGTTACCTGACCATGTAAACGTTGAAATGTTTATTTCATGCTCTTAAAGAGTTATTTTACATTTAACGTTTTCTGACATCTCTGTTAAAAATTGTGGCAATGATGTTATTGGCTAATCCAGTTTTCTTTCACTTTATCTAGCTCTTGAGACACGATTAGTGCAGTCTTTTCCTTTTTGTGTGGTGTAAAATAAGAAATAAGGAGTAATATTCTTTTCCTAAACTTATTTGATACTTTCATTTGTAGTTCTTTGATTTTCTTTATATTTTATGCTTTAACAGGATATGATATTGATTTGTGCAGAATTCCTGGAGGTGTTGAAAAGAAGAAGTGACGTGTGTTGTTTTCCTCATAGGCTTTATTGTTATTATCTAGAGGCTTATCTGGTTTCACTAGAGTTTGTTCATCTTTTAGAATGCATTATGATTGTGCCTCTCTTTGTATGCAATCTAGGATATGTACCTGTCCATACTTTAACTGGATATTTGCGGGGCTGGATTGTTATTATAATTATTATGTTGAGTGTTTGTTTGTTTCGTGAAGAAACTTTGTGCTGGGTATGGTTCAAACTTTCACCCGTTCGAGAGCTCAATTTGGATCGTATTGAATGTGTAATCAATACAGGATAGTTTGAAGCAGACTCATATATTGTCAATTGTTATTAATGCTAATTGTCATCAAATCTAATGAGGCTTGCATAACTACCTTTGAATTTCATCAACAATAACAATGGTTAATCTAATTTATTAAAAAGGAAAAATAGAGGGACAAAATTGTTCAAAGTCAATTCATGACCATGTAATTGTAATATCCACTCTCGAGAGTAAACCAACAGTTCTCTTGTGTTTGTTTATTAAAAAATAAAAATAAAAAATTCAGGTTGACGGATATGGTGCGACGGGACAGTCTCGAGGTGCTCAGTCTCGCGCTGTGCCACGGGTCGCGCCGTGAAGGAGGTCGCGCCAGGCGCGAGACCCAAATTTTAGAGGTTGTATCCTCATGGCACGAAGGAGTCTGGCTAGGCGTGAGACCTAAATTTCAGAGGTTGTATCCTCACGGTGCTGAGACCCAGATTTCAGAGGTTGTATCCTCATGGCACGAAAGAGTCGCGCTCGGCGTGACGCACACATACATAGGCAATTTTATTGCTTTCAAGGCATGACCCACACAGACCTGGGAGTTTGCAGTGCCTTCACGGCACGATGGGTCACTCTCGGCGCGACACATACAGACTTGAGCATTTTCAATGCCTTTACGGCTCGATGGAGGTCGCATGCGGTTTGACATAGAGCGTTACAGAAAATGTAAATTATAAAACGATTTCATTAACCACATAACAAAAATATACACAATAATTTGCCCCACAAAGGCATTACCACACATAAATTATCCATACA